GATGTAGGCAAACATTGCCACAGAAGTGAAAAATATGTAGACTTCCTTGGGGACAAAATCCAAGTTGAAAATTGAATCTATAAAACATACAGTCTTGCAGCAGAGGAAGAGAAAGTTGGCCCCCACCAGTTTGAGGATGTAGACAGAGAAGGCATTCCTGCGTACGTGGAAGCCCAGGAACCAGAGCACCACTGTGTTCCCTGCCAGCCCCACCAGGGCCTCGATGGCTGTCAGTACTCCCAGGATTATGAACTCTGTATAATGTTGATAAAAGGCCTGATCACTTTTATTGATTGTTGAACTCGGCCTCCCAGGCTTTGACAGTCATATCCATGTTCAGAAATGCTGTAGTTGTGGGCCTTGAAATAAAACAAGACTTGAGCAACTGCTCTATGACCCCTGACCCTGCAATCTCAGTGACTGAGAGTGGTAAACTCATCAGGGAAAAAGGAGGTTATGACTTAGGCTCATGAAGGCAATGAGACCCCTTGTTAGGACAGAGTGAGGACACCCAAAGCTCTTGCTTTAGAAATGTCTGAGTATGTCAATTTTATGAGGATAGACAGTGATTACTCTTTCCATTGTTTAGTATCCAGGGTCCAACTCTGTCTGGGAACACAATGGAGCTGTCAATAAAACTTAAATTCACAAATGAATAAATGTATGAATGAACTAATGAGGAGCTCAAGGGATGAAGAAAATTTGGATTGAAAAATTTTTAATAAAGAATTTTGAATGTAAAACAGAAGTTAGCACTTTTAACTCCACCACCAAAAACACATATGGAACAAAACAAAATTCCATTTCGAAGCATTCATTCTGTGAAACGCTCTTGTGTGTTTGAAAGAATATTTTTATGCCTGTATACATCTCCTATGCAGGTGGGAGAGGATTCAAGACTGAATGAAATTTCTCTTTATTTTAGAGGAGAAAGAAGCCATTTAAAAAAAAAATATATATATATTTTTTATTGATTTTACACAGAGAGGAACTGAGAGGGATAGAGAATTAGAAATGTCGATGAGAGAGAAACATCGACCAGCTGCCTCTTGCACACCCCCGACTGGGGATGTGCCCGCAACTAAGGTAAATGCCCTTGTCCGGAATCGAACCTGGGACCTTTCAGTCCACAGTTCGACACTCTATTCACTGAGCCAAACTGGTTTCAGTGAGAAAGAAGCCATTTTGGAAAGGAGAGAGACAGAGGTGGCCAAGGTTGTGAATAGAGATAGTTGAGACTGAAAATACAGAAGGTCCATTATTTAATGGTTTTCCTATAATTCTGTAATGGAAAACTCACTCATTGTCCCTGCATTTGATATGAAGTAGAGATTTTCTTGCAGATCAAAGCATTGTGTAAAAGAATTCTCCTGGTGGTGGTGCAGGCAAGAAGTGTTTAATTCTATTTTACAAAGGGCTTTGGATGAAAAGAGGGAAGCTCTTGCAGAATTCAGGTGAGATTCACAAACCAACTCACACATATCGATAGATGAAGAGGAGCAGCTGATGAGTTTTTACATGGCATTAACTCCTTTAATTCTCCTAATAGCCCTATGAGGGAGAGCTATGCTTACTCCCATCTGGCATAAAGGAAAAGACAAACACAAGGAGGTTGAATGACATGCTCCAGTTCTCATGTGCACAAGTGGAAGAACCTGGATCTGGACCCACAGGTCTGCGTCATAGTCTTCTCATGTTCCCTGCTCTGCAGCCCCACTACCAGGGTGGTTTTTCTGATACATGAGGGGATAGGGGTGGGGCAGGAAGCAAGTAACTTTTAGGGAAAGTTGACCAGATTTTAACATTGGTAAAGCTTGACACCATTGACTATGGTGGAGGGGGATTCTTGATTAAAAATTTGGTCTATATGGAGCAACAAAAATTTTCATAGAATGCAAAAATAGTATTGTAATATTTATTTATTTAAATATATCTTATTGATTTTTTTACAGAAAGGAAGGGAGAGGAATAGAGAGTTAGAAACATTGATGAGAGAGAGACATCGATCAGCTGCCTCTTGCACACTCCCCACTGGGCATGTGCCTGCAACCAAGGTACATGCCCTTAACAAGCATCGAACTCAGGATCTTGTAGTCTGCAGGCCAACTGTCTATCCACTGAGCCAAACCGGTTTCAGCCTATAATATATTTTTTTAAATTTTAACATAAATACAATTTACAAATATAATAAATAAAAAAATATGCCAAAGATTTTATTTTATTATTATTTTATTCTTTGGCATATTTTTCATTTGAGTGAATTTTTTTTTTTTAGTAGATTGCTGTCGTTGTTTAAAAAGTCATGAAATTTTTCACAAGAATTTGTTAAATTATATTTCACACATAAAATGGCTTTCAAAGTTTCAACACTTAATTGTGATTTTTCTGATGTCCATACTTTATTTACCGTAGAAAAAACACGTTCAGTCACAGCATTAGTTCCTGGTAAGAACAGCACGTATTCCACAATTCTAACAACTGATCAACAATGCGAACTTTGATAAATAGTTCTCAATAATCAGTTATCAACAATTATCTGTTATTATTAAAGTTTAACATTATAAAATTAACAAAAATAATATAAAACTCATATCCTGGCTAAAAAGCCACATGGCCGCCAAAAATCGTAAATTCCCTTCCCGTTCTCCCGCAGGTCCCTAGCTTGTCCTGCATTCTTTCCAAAAATCGGGACTTTTTTTTTTAAAATTATTATCTGTGTACATATTTTAACATTGCCCCCCCCCCACTCCCATACATACCCCCCCCCCCTAGAGTTTTGTGTCCATTGGTTGTACTTAAATCAGGACTTTTTTTTTTTTTTAAACGCTGCGGAATGCAGGAGTAATTGTTAAAAATTGGGACTGTCCCGCCAAAGGCCGGACGTCTAGTCACCTTATCTTAGGGCCAAATCTAAAATGGCAAATCATTTGTGTGTTCTATTAAACTGGAATAGGCAAATTTCACAAATAACAAAGAAGAGAAGCTTATTCAGTGTGGAAGAAGAAGTGGGTGGAATCCAGCTGAGAACAGACCAGATGTTCTAGGAACTTCTTGCCTCTGGACAGACACAATCAGTCAATTCTTGCCAGATTCAGCGTGGGCAGACTCACCCAGTAGAATCAGACCCACTAACCTTCAGTCTGTGGGCTGCCACTCAAACCACTGAGTCAAAACTGCTAGGGCTTGTCTCCCTTTTTAAACTCAAAACACAGTAATGATGACTAGATCTGCCTGGGCTTTGTGTTTTTTCTTTGTTGTTGTAGTTCACTATTGTATCTTTGGCATTGAGCACAAGTCCCTTAGACACCATCTTTAATAATATCATCGTTTAACACAGGAAGAAGCTGGGGCATGAATCTTAAGGGCCTATAGTCTGAGAGAAATATAGGTAATCTTCCTTTCTTACCCAATCAGGTAGAACAATCATATATAATAACTAGGTTGTATGCAAATTGACCATCACTCCAATACATAAAATGGCTGCCTCCATATGGTCAAAGATGGTCATCCCAATGTGGACACAAGATGCCCAGTACAAGATAGCTAGCAGGGAGGGCACTTGTGGGTAATCAGGCCTGCAAAGTGGGCAGTTGGTAGGGACCCAGGAAAGGGCAATTGGTGGGAACCAGGCCTGCAGGGAGGGTAGTTGGGGGGAAGCAGACCAGCAGGTTAGAGCAGTTAGGGGCAACCAACCTTTAGGGGTGGGCATTTGGGAGAGACCAGGCCAGCAGGGGAAGGCAGTGGGGAAAACCAGGCCTTCATGGGAGGGCTGTTGCGGGTGATCACTCCTCCAGAGGAGTGCAGTTGGGGATGACCAGGCCTGCAGGGGAGAGAAATTGTGGGGAACCATGCCTACATGGGAAGGCAGTTGGTGGCATCCAGGTTAGCAGGGAAGGGCCATTAGCGGTGACCAGGCCTTCAGGGGAGGGTAGTTGAGGGTGACTAGGCCTTCAGGGAAGGGCTGTTGTGGTTGAACAGGTTAGCAGGGGAGGGCAGTTAGGGGCACCAAGCTGGCAAGGAAGGGAAATTAAGGGTGTCTAGGCCAGCAGAGAAGGGCAGTTGTGGAAAACTAGTCCTGCAGGGGAGGACAGTTAAGGGCAATCAGGCCAGCAGGGGAGCAGTTAGCTATTTATCAGGCTGGTAGGGGAGTAGCTAAGGAGTGATCAGGCTGACAGGCAGAAGTAGTTAGGGGCAAAGAGGCAGGTAGGCAGGTGAGTGGTTGGAACCAGCAGTCCTGGATTGTGAGAGGGATGTCCCACTGCCTGTTTAGGCCCAATCGGGCCTTGACAGGTAATAGGACATTCCTCGAGGGGTCCCAGATTGGAGAGGGTACAAATTGGGCTGAGGGACACACACACACACACACACACACACACACACACACCATGCACAAATTTTGTGCATCGGGCCTCTAGTTTATGAATAACTATGGTTTAGGACAAGAATTCTTTTGTTTTAACTTATTAAATATTACCTCATAAGTCAATAATATATTAGAGGCTTCACATGTATTAACTGTTGATGTTTATGAAATTTTTGTCATATTTGGCACCTGGCAGAGTCCTTTTCATTTGTTTTCTAATTTATTCCCCACTATGATGCTATGAGTAGAAAATTTCACAGCATTTTACAATGAATTAACTGAAGCTTGGAGAGGAGAGCTGTAGAACCAGGACTTCAGACCTGGACTTGTCTGATTTGGACAGGGATTCTTTTTGTTGCAATGAAGATTGAAAAGAAAAAGCATTCAATAAAGAAATTCAGATCACATGAGAAATTTATTGGTAATGTCAAGAACTATGGAGAAGTATAATGTTTAGATTAATGCTTTCTCTGAGAAAAACTTGAAAGACTAGATAAAAACAACCTATTTGAAGAGTTTGAGGTATCACTGAAGCATTCTGAGGCTAAGACTGAGAGAAGATTAGATACTTCTAAGGCTGGCAGGGCAGCAATGAGTCTCAAAGTTACTTCAGACAGATCAGGACAGAGGCTCTTTATCACTGCCTCTGTCTGGTTCCTGACATGTACAGGGTTTCCCCAGGAAGGCTTTCTCCAAGTTCATCCACTTCAGGAGTGTCCTGAAAAGCCCTCTGAAGAACCAGCCTCAGAGTGTGTCTCTGCTTCTGCCATCGCTGCCTGAAGGAGCCCACAAAGAAATAAATGAAGGGGTTGGCACAGCTGTTGACACAGGACAGAAGCTGTACAGTCTTGGAAAGATGGAAGAGGGCAAGATATTCATTTGAAAACCGGACTATGAGGAACCAGTGGAAGCCAAAGGGCAGGCCACAGAGGAGGAAGACCAGTACAGTGATCATGATGGTCATGTAGAGCCTGGTGGGCAGCAACCGTTGGGAGCCACATAACAGTCTGGTCATCAGGGCCAGGCTGGACCCAGAGAGCAGCACAAATAACAAAATAAGCCATGCCACAGTGATGAAATCCAATACTTGACACCAAACATGATGCACTCCCCAATTCGGGAAGTCACAGTAGTTCCCTTCCAGCATGCTCAGAAGCAGGGACAGGGCCCAGAGCAGGGCACACATGATAGCAGACATGTGAGTGGGGCGGCGGCAGTGATACCAGATGGGCCACAAGACAGATATGCAGCGCTCCGTGCTGATGGTGCTGAGAATACTCAAGCCTGAGATGTAGGCAAACATTGCCACAATTGAGACAAATCTGCTAATTACTTCCTTGGTAATATGTAAGTTGAAAGTTGAATATAAAAAATATATAATAAAGCAGAAGAGGAAGAGGAAGTCGGCCCCCGCCAGGTTGACGATGTAAACAGAAAAGGCATTCCTGCGCATGTGGAAGCCCAGGATCCAGAGGACCACTGTGTTCCCTGACAGCCCCACCAGGGCCACAATGACTGTCAGTATTTCCAGGATTATTTTCCATGTATAATGGTGATAAAATTCCTGATCACTTCCATAGATGGTTGTGAGTTCGGCCTCCCAGGCTGTGACACTCATATCCATTTCCAAAAATGCTGCAGTTGTGGACCTGGAAACAAGACAAGACTTGAGCACCTGCTCTATGACCACTGACCCTCATGGCCACCCTGTCTGTGGCGAATGGAGATTCCAGAGATCATAAATTGAAATTCTTAAAAATATTTGTCTACCCCCACCCTGAAAAATAATGTACATTCCATCCTCAAGGCAGTTATGATGAGAGATAGTATTTCTAAGATGTGAAACCCAGGAGGAGGTGCCTATATTTCAAATAAATAAGATATAAGAACAAGTCAATCTAATCACAGTGAGAGGGAAAAAGTCCTTGGAGAAGAACCAATGAAGAAAAATGGATTGTCTTTATTTGATGTCAAATTTCATTTTTCAGCATCTCTATCCACTGCTGCATCCTATGGGGACACATGTCTTTGCCTCACCACTGGGCTCCCTTTCCCTCTGCCTCCTAATTTTTAGGAAAAGTGACACTGACATCTGATTGTAGGGCAGGAGGAGGGCTAACTCCCTGCTCTCTGCTGTCAGGCTATGAATTTGCCAGGGTTGTGTTACTCAGAGCATGAATCTAAAGTGCGTTTAGTCTGAGAGAAACATACAGAATCTTCCTTTCCTACCCAATCAGGTAAAACAATCTTATATAATAACTAGGTTATATGTAAATTGACCATCACTCCAACACATAAGATGGCTGCCCCCATATGGTCAAAGATGGCCATCCCAATGTGGACACAAGATGCCCGGTACAAGATAGCTAGCAGGGAGGGCACTTGTGGGTGATCAGGCCTTCAGGTTGGGCAGTTGGGGGGGACCCTGGCCTGCAGGAGAGGGCAGATGGTGGGAAGCAAACTAGCAGGGGAGGACAGTGGGGGGAATCAGGCTTTCATGGGAGGGCTGTGGTTGGTGACCATGCCTCCGGAGGAGTGCATTTGGGGATGACCAAGACAGCAGAGAAGGGCAGTTGTGGGGAACCATTCCTGCAGGGGAGGACAGCTAGGGGCATTAAGGCCAGCAGGGGAGCAGTTAGGCATTTATCAGGTTGGTAGAGGAGTGGCTAAGGGGTTATTAGGCTGACAGGCAGAAGTATTTAGGGGCAATCAGGCAGGCAGGCAGGTGAGTGAGTGGGAGCCAGCAGTCCTGGATTGTTCGAGGGATGTCCCTGTTTAGGCCCAATCAGGCCTGAACAGGTAGTAGGACATTCCTCGAGGGGTCCCAGATTGGAGAGGGTGCAGGCTGGGCTGAGGGACATGCACACACTATGCACAAATTTTGTGCATTGGGCCTCTAGTTTTTGAATGACTGTCTATAGTTTAGGACAAGAATTCTTTTGTTTTAACTTATTAAATATTACCTCATAAGTCAATAATATATTAGAGGCTTCACATGTATTAACTGTTGATGTTTATGAAATTTTTGTCATATTTGTCACCTGGCAGAATCCTTTTCAGTTGTTTTCTAATTTATTCCCCACTATGATGCTATGAGTAGACAATTTCACAGCATTTTACAATGAATTAACTGAGGCTTGGAGAGGAGAGCTATAGAACGAGGACTTCACACCTGGACTTGTCTGATTTGGACAGGGATTCTTTTTGTTGCAATGAAGATTGTAAAGAAAAAGCATTCAATAAAAAAATTCAGATCACTTGAGAAATTTATTGGTAATATCAAAGACAATGGAGAGGTATAATGTTTGGACTAATGCTTTATCTGAGAAAAACTTGAACGACCAGATAAAAAACAACCCATTTAAAGAGATTGGGGAATCACTAAAGCATTCTGAGGTTGAGGCTGAGAGAAGACTAGATACTTTCAAAGCCTGGCAGGGCAGCAGTGAGTCTCAAAGTTACTTCAGACAGATCAGGACTGCCCTTCATCACTGCCCCACACTGCTTCCCGATGGGTATAGGGTTTCCACAGGAAGGCTTTCTCTAGGTTCATCTTCTTCAGGAGCCCACAATGAGGCTGTCAATAAAATTTATATCCACCAATGAATGCATGTATGAATGAACTAATGAGGAGCTGAAGAGATGAAGAAAATTTGGATTGAATATAATATAAAATTTTTCTTAATAAAGAATTTTGAATGTAAAACAGAAGTCATAACTTTTAACTCCACCACCAAAAAACATATGTAACCAAAACAAAATTCCATTTCTAAGCATTTATTCTGTGAAACGCTCTTTTGTCTTTGAAAGAATATTTTTATGCCTGTAGACATCTCCTATGCAGGTGGGAGAGGATTCAAGACTGAATGAAATTCCTCTCTACTTTAGAGGAGAAAGAAGCCATTTTGGGAAGGAGAGAGACAGAGGTGGCCAAGGGTGTGAATAGAGATAATTGAGACAGAAATACAGAAGTGGCATTATTTACTAGTTTTCCTACAATTCGTGTAATGGAAAACCCACTCATTATCCCAGGATTTGATATGGAGTAGAGAATTCTTTACAGATCAAAGCATCATGTAAGAGAATTCTCCTGGTGATGGTGCAGGTATGAAGTACTTAGTTCTATTTTACAAAGGGCTTTGGATGAAAAGAGGGAAGCTCTTGCAGAATTTAGGAGAGATTCAAAAATCAACTCACACATAGATGAAGAGGAGCAGCTGATGAGTGGTTACATGGCATTACCTCTTTTAATTCTCCTAATAGCCCTATGAGGGAGAGCTATGCTTATTCCCTTCTTGCATAAAGGAAAAGACAAACACAACAAGGTTGAATGACATTCTCCAGTTCTCATGTGCATAAGTGGAAGAGCCTGGATCTGGACCCACAGATCTGTGTCAGAGTTTTCCCCTGTCCTCTTCCCTGCAGCCCCACTACCAGGGTGGTTTTTCCTGTATATGTGGGGGGTGGTGGGACAGGAAGCAAATAATTCTTAGGGACAAATATAAAATGGAAAATCAATTTATTTGTGTTTTATTAAGCTGGAATAGGCAAGTTTCACAAATAACAAAGAAGTGAACCTTATTCAGTGTGGAAGAAGAAGTAGAAACCAGATGAGAATAGACCAGAAATTCCAGGAACTTTTTCTTGCCTCAGGACAGACCCAATCAGTCAATTCTTGCCAGGTTCAGCCTGGGCAGACTCATCTAAGAGTATCAAACCCACTACCCTTCAGTCAGTGGGCTGCCTTTCAAACCACTGAATCAAACTGCTAGGGCTTGTCTCCCTTTTTAAACTCAAAACTCAGTAATGTTGACTAGATCTGTCTGGGCTTTGTGTTTTTTCTTTGTTGTTGTAGTTCACTATTGTATCTTTGGCATTGAGCACAAGTCCCTTAGACACCATCTTTTACAATATCATCCTTCAACACAGGAATAAGCTGAGGCCTAAAGATGCAACAGATTTCCCTGAGATCTCAGGGTGAACAGCAGTTCCAATGCCAGCCCTGTCTCCTGGAGCCCAGCCTAAAGCTTTAGCACTGTTCTCTGCCTCACTGTGGGGTGAACACCTGAGCAAAATCTTCACAGAAGCTCAGAACACGAGAGAACTGCAGGCAGGCAGAAAATACTAGTTGATCTATATGCTGATTTCCTTCTCTCTCACATAATAGTTCTGACATTTTTAGACCAGAACGTGGATTTTAATCCCAGTTTTCATTCCCATTTGATGGAAACATGTGACCAGGTGGTAGCCAATGGGAGGTAAGCACAAATGATGCAACCAATTAGGTTGTGCATTTCCTTCCCCTCTTTTCCTCTGGACGGAATGCTGATGTGTCTGGGAGCCCTGTATGAAAACGAAGTCACCTCTCTAAGGCTGGGGAGCAGTAATTAGCTGTGTCTGAAAGAACACAGGTGTCCGATGCCTTGAAATCACCAGTCAAGTTCTAGTAACCTCACTTGCATTTCCTTCTAGGGTTACCAAAATTGTCAATTGAAATTCTTAAAAATATTTGTATACAACCCACTTCTAAAACAATGTACATTCCATCTTCAAGGAATTTATGACGAGAGATATTATTTCTCAGACCTGACATGCAGTAGGGGGTGTTAATAGATCAAATAAATGAGATGTAATAACAAGCTGATCTAATCACAGTGTGAGAGAAAAAGTACAAAAGAAAAGCAACTAGGAAGAGGCTATATGAAAAATGGATTCTCTTCATTTGATGTCGAATTTCATTTCCAGCTTCACTACCCACTGCTGCATCTTGAAAGGACACATCTCCTTGCCTCACGACTGGGCTCCCTTTCCCTCTGGCTCCTTATTTCTCTTAGGAAAGGTGACACTGACAGCTGATGTAGGGCAGGAGAAGCATGATTGAGCTTTAACTCCCTGCCGCTCAGCTGTCAGGTTGTGAGTATGCCATGGTGATATTACTCTACCCAAGGAGAGAGCCCCTATATGTAGGCCTATTTGTGAGTCATAGTGATGACCACCAGTACAGCCACAGCCCTCCCTGCATTGTGGCAACTTACCATTTTCTTACACTTCAGCATACGCAATGCCAATAACTCCCTATTATGATTTATCTCTAGGGACCTCTGTATCCTCTATTGATTACCCTTAGTCCTGCTAAAGCTTTATACACAGTCTTTTAATTAAACTCTCTTCAATGGCCTTATGTGTTTGTGCCTTGTGTTTTTGGCTGGGATAGGAAAGATACAAGCAAAGAACAAAAAAATGAACAAATTCATAGAACATCAAGGTAACATGTGAAACCTGAGGTTATTAACAACAATTCAGTTTAAAACAATGTCTGTGAAGCAGAAAGGACCTGGGTCCCTCCAAGCTCAAGCTACCAACACCCAAAGCTTCCCTGAGGGAGCTTCATGTCTCTGGACCCTCCTTCACACGCGCACATGGCTCATTGCTCGCTCCACCCAAGATGCACTCGTGACAATGTGGACTAAGAGATAAAAAAGAAAACTGCCATTGAAAGAAGATAGTTCTGAGCTGACTCTTACCTGAGCACCATCTTCTGGTTGAAGGTGGTCAGTGGAAAAAGAGGAGTTTCCGAGAGAGTGCTGAACACCAAAGAATGCTCTCCTACCCCAGATAGGAGGT